CACTTGGTGTGTGTGAGTGTGTAGAAGGTAAGAGTGGAGGGATCAAAAGTGACTTCAACACTTAACCCTGAACAGTGTAGCATAGTTAAGCTACTAATGGACAGAGCATTCTGAATGGAGGAGGGATCCTAGCATGAGCAACAGCAGGAGAAAGAACAAGCTATGGGGAGAAGGTGAGTTCTATGTTGGACATGTTTATAATGAATTACCTCCAAGAGAAGATGCACAAATATATTTAAACATGTGACTTTGAAAAATAGAAAAAGGGAAAACTCAGACACAGAATTATGGATTTTGGAGTTATCAGTGAATAACTGACAGTAGAAGCCATAGGACTAAATAAGATCACTTAAGAGTATAAAGCAGGAAATTTAGAAGTATGATAACAGAATATATTTAATACTAAAGTAAAGTGATGAACCAAATAATTGACAAGGGTAATATTAGAGTTAGAAGGAGAAACAAGAAACAGTAAGGTTATGGAAGTCAAAGGAGATTTTTCTGGGCCAGGTCTGAAGCAGTGAATGTAATTTCTGCCTGTATTCCATTAGCCAGAACTCAGTCACATTACCCTCTTGAATGTGAATGCAAGGTCCCTGGCAAAGTAGTCACTTCACCACAGCTCTTGACTGTGCTAAGGAGCACAAATCTATTGTAGGCAGCTACCTATCTCTGCCCCATAATGCTGGTCTCATCGGGTCTCCCTAAGTAATTCTCCACATTTACCTCTTTAACAGACATCTTACAGCAGCAAACATTATTTCAGTCCAAATTATGAGATAAATAAGATAGGCTTTAGATTGCAAGCAGTTCTTTGCCAGCTGGCTATGACTATATCACTTTATTACATCTGAGCACCACACAGAGGAATATCAGAACACTTCGGTGTTATTTCTCTGAAATACCAAAGTGTTGTATATCAAGTTTGTCATTCCAAGAGCTAATGAAATCTGTGTGACTACACATTAGTGACTACGACTAGAACAATGGAGAAAACATCCATGCTAGAAATGTTTGATTCCATCTGTTAGCATGTTTCAGTGCTACAAATAGAAACTTTAAGGCTTGCTATCTCCCTGGGGTGGCTAAGTGAAAATCTATTAGAAAAATAAACATAGTGTCATTATATGCTTTGTATAAAACAAGTTATTCAACTTCCAAACTGTTAAATGTACGATGGTGGAAGGAGGGTGATTCTTGCTTTAGAAAAGGTTTTTTTCTTCTAAGAGACCTCATAACACTCAACTTTCAAGGTCTAGGGAAATAGGTTGTCATGCAAGTGTAGCTCCTCACTGCCTTGTTGTAATCCACAGTTGTCCAAGGGTGAGTATCACTTATCTCCAATAATCCATATGGAGGAGCTAAAAATGAGAATGGAGATAGGATCTACCCTCTACTCTTCTGGATACTCCCTCTCTGCCTTTTGTCAGAGCACGTATATATCCAGGACAGGGGACCAGGGACAGTGCTGGGAAGAATCTTCAACTCTGACCTAAGGCTAGAGGGAGAAAATAGAAAGAAACAAAATCACGGGCTAAAAGAAAACTAATTAAGAGGCTGCTGAAGGGAGAATGGAGATAGGATCTACCCTCTACTCTTCTGGATACTCCCTCTCTGCCTTTTGTCAGAGCACGTATATATCCAGGACAGGGGACCAGGGACAGTGCTGGGAAGAATCTTCAACTCTGACCTAAGGCTAGAGGGAGAAAATAGAAAGAAACAAAATCACGGGCTAAAAGAAAACTAATTAAGAGGCTGCTGGTGATCTTAGAGAATAGTAAGACTAGAAGTCAAAAGGAAGGGAGTTCAGGAGTAAGAAACTGATAAGAAAAATACAAATAAATATATACAGATGTAGTGTAACACATTCGGATCATAGGTTAGCCAGTGGCACCATATTTTATCGGAACAGTAAGGCACACATGGAAATGCCAGCATATATTGTAAATTGCTTTTACCCTTTGTGTCCTGAACACCATAAGCTTTGAGTTCAATGAACTGATCAGAGTCATTCTCTTATGAGTAATGTAATTTGCTTATATCTAAAAAAAAAAAAAAAAAGAATTACATTGTCTCCTTCATCTTTCTCTTGGCCTATATTGCTTGTTGTTTCTCCTGTGTGCCTGATGAGCAACAACAAAGCAAGCTCTATTAGCTGAAATGCAAATGTCTTACCAGGATTTCTTAGTTATGGTAGTAAAATGAAGGCACTAGGGAAGGGGTCCTCAAACTTTTTAAACAGGGGGCCAGTTCACTGTCCCTCAGACCGTTGGAGGGCTAGACTGTAGTTTTAAAAAAAAACTATGAATAAATTCCTATGCACAGTGCACATATCTTATTTTGAAGTAAAAAAAACAAAATGGGAACAAATACAGTATTTGCATTTGCATGTGGCCTGCAGGCCGTAGTTTGAAGACCCCTGCACTAGGGCAAAGTCAATTTTGTGTCTAACTGAAATTTCATTTTCTTGTCAAATATGAACTTTTTTCCCCCTTAATTCTGATAAGCCTGAATTTTCATTAGAATACTTCAGGCATAGGTGGTGGATCAGAGGCCTGTATTCAGGAGTTCTAGAAACTATGTACAGCTAGGGATGAGTTATTTAAAGTAATAATTCTTACATCAGGGAGGCTACTGATGGTTCCATGAAGGCTATCCTTGTCTGAGATATTCTCTCAAATAACTTACCTGCCACTGTAGTCCATCTTATCCAATCAGATAACCACTAGAATTCAGAAATTCTATGAAGCTCAAGATTAGAACATGGTGAAATTATTTTTTAATCTTATTAGAATGAAATCTCCATGAGATGACTCCTATAGGATGGGAACTCTCCCACCCCCTGTTCTTTACTGAAACTTAACAAAACAAAAACCAAGAAATAAAGAACATGTTTGTTTTAAACTTCAGTGTGAGATATCTTAAATGTTAAACCTGGCAGAGTAGCCAGTGTTCATTGTGAGGGAATATCATCCAGTAGACATCTAGGCTTCCTCTCAAGGAAGTGTTACCAACAAAAATTCACTTGCTACTTTTTCCTTCTGTTGGATTAATTCACTGGATTTGAAATTGAAATTGAGTTCATTTCCCTTTTCTATGACACTTCAAATGAAAGGAATAGAATTGTGTTACCAGAGGCATTAGGACTCTGCTGGCCACTAACCTGGTGGGAAATAGAGAGTTACTTAAAATAATACAGGTCCACAGAGTTTTGTGTCCACAGAGCTAGAGCCAGTGTGGCAAGAAGGCACATCCCAAAGGCGATCAAGTGTCCTTTCTTTAATGCCCAGTTTTCTTTTGCTTCCAAAAAATTTTATGGGAAATTTTTATATGCAATACTAGAGGCCCGGTGCATGAAAATTCATGCACTGGAGGGGTGTCCCTTAGCCCAGCCTGCCCCCTCTCACAGTCTGGGAGCCCTCAGGGGCAGGAGGTGATCAGGGGAAGGAGGCGAATACCTCTGCTGCTGCCACTGCCGGCAGCACAAGCCTCAGCCGGCCCTGGTTTCCTGAACCTCGGGCGGCCCAGGGTGGCTGGGCAGCCGACATCCGAGGTTTGCCTCTGCCTCGGGCCGGCCCTCGGCGACTGGGGGGCCTAAGGGGACTGGGGAACTCTGGAGGCAGGCGCGTGGAGCGGCCTTGCCACGTGCCTGCCACCCCGGCGGGGCTGAGGGGACTGGGTGCCACCATCTTGTGGCTGTGGGCACCACCATCTTTGAGGGCATAGTAAATTAGCATATTCCCTCCTTATTGGCTGTGGGTGCTGCCATCTTTGTGATAGCATGAGGGTCAATTAGCATATTCCCTCTTTATTAGATAGGATACGATGCTAGGTGCTTTGAAGAATATAAATCACTCAGAATTTCTGTCATAAATGTAAACAGAAACACACACACACATAACCCTCGATATATACACATGCATACACCCATACCTATCCATACATACAATCACACTTTAAGGAGTATTTCATTAGGATGCTTTGAGCTAGAAGAAATAGAAAATTCTAACTCAAATGTATTAAATAATAAATTTTTAGATACTTTATATAATAACAAATCCAAAATTAGGGCAGCTCCTAATGCTGTACAGTCAGGGCTCAGGTGCTATATTTCTGAAATTCTCTTAGCTTAATTCTTCTTTTGGCTTTGTCTTAGGGTAGCTGTCACATGATTACAAGAGGACCACAATAGTTCTGGGCTACAGGGGCAGATAACACAACATGCAGAGGCAGAAAAGGGTTTTCTCTTTCATAACAGAGTGGGAATCTGTTAATAAGGAGATAGGGAGGAATGGATGCCATCAGGAAACCTATAGTCTAGTAGAGGAAAGGGTATGTGGAAGTGTGGTAGATACTGTATAAGACATATAAAGTATATATAATGGTAGTTCCAAAGAAAAACTATTCCTTTTCCTCTACTGGAAGGAAAGGGAAGATAGCTGCTGTCCAGAGAATACTTCACTTGGGGAAGAGGTTGTTAATCTAGTTTGAATTTGAGATACTATGGGACCTCCAGGTGCAGAAATCCAATAGACAGTTGGATGTATACTGACCTAAGGCTGAGAAGTCTACCTAGAGAAAAGGATACAGGATGCAGGTGGTGGTGAAGGCCCTGAGGATGGATGAGCTAATTCAGAGGACAGACCAGGACCGAAAATGAGACCCTGAGAAACACTGACATTTAAAGCATGGGTGAGATAAAGGAGTTGACAGAGACAGAAAATAAAAATGAAAATCTTTTCATGCCATCTGTGTGTGGGATGGGTGTAAGCTAACTAGAAATGACATTTTGTGATATTCACACGTGTGATTTGGGTAAAGGACTGGTAAAAGCTAGGAACCTTTCAATACTTATTCTTTGCCCAGTTGCAGTTGTCCTTCCCTAAGAAACTGGTTGAATGAGACAGAATCTTGGAGGTTTGGCTAGACCTGAACAGTCCTCCACCCAAAGCAGAATGGGTACATTAACATTTCTAAAATGAGTCTCTTTTTCTTTGCAGGAGTGGTCACACATTACTTGCCTTCTGGTTTTCCCGCCAAGAGGGAAAACTAAACCGACAGCAGACTATTGAACTGGGACATCACATCCTCAAAGCACATATTTTTAAGGTAACTAGAGAAGTTAGAGGCTTTTTTTCCCCATCTCCAGCAGGCTTTCCTTAACAGTATCTGTGAAACTACTGTTATTTCAGTAAAGTCCTTGCTTTCTGAAATTATTTTGTTGCGAAGCCAGTCCATGTCCTGAAAAGTATGGCTGTTCCTCCCTAGGCATTTGGAAAGAAAACCTCATTTGTCATCTCCCAGCTTAGCGGACTGCTAGGCTTTCCAGGAAATGTACGTGTATTATCATTCAGCTGAGAAGCATATAGATGTATATTCAATATATGACCTACAATCTCCTGAGGACAGTCATGTTGTAGCAGTTAGTTGCAGATTTTCACAATAACTAAAAAAAATCACTGAGAGCACTCTTTCAGTTTTCTTATACATCTTTTTTAAAAATTGTATTTTATTGATTTAAGAGAGGGAGAGAAACATCAACCTATTGTTCCATTTATTAAGGCATTCATTGGTTGATTCTTGTATGTGCCCTGACCAGGGATTGAACCCGCAACCTTGGCCTATCAGGACAACACTAACCAACTGAACTTCCTGACCAGGGCCTCGTTTCTTAGTGAAGATTTCAATTCTCTTAGTGAAGATTTTAATATTTCTAGTGTTGTGATGTTCCAAGTATCTGGAACCATTCTCTCTTCAAATTATAATCCCAATTTGTCTCCCAGTGGTTTCAAAATTTTTAAGTACTCTATAGCATCAGCTCCCATCTCTCCACATTCACAAGGCTGGAATGGAGGACCCAGAGGAGGGCACATCATTCACTGTTTGTGCACGAATGCATTTGTTTACTCAGTGCTTACTGAGGCATTGTCCTAGGTACTAGTGCTGCAAAAACAAGAAAGATACAGACCCTAATCTCAAGGAATTTTTAGTGTTGATACCAGTATAGGGTAAAAACACAAAGGTCAAGGAAGAAATGTTCTGATTTTTCTAGCCCACAGTTTACTGGAAGTCTGATACTTCCCATCTTTACAGTCTCTTCAGACTGCTTTTCCTGGCTCAGGGTTGAGATACAGGTATATATTTTTTTTAATATATATTTTATTGATTTTTTACAGACAGAAAGGGAGAGGGATAGAGAGTTAGAAACATCGATGAGAGAAACATCGATCAGCTGTCTCTTGCACACCCCCTACTGGGGATGTGCCCGCAACCAAGGTACATGCCCTTGACTGGAATCGAACCTGGGACCCTTGAGTCCGCAGGCCAACGCTCTACCCACTGAGCCAAACCGGTTAGGGCAGATACAGGTATCTTAAACAGTTCTCTGGGTTGGACTTCCTCCAGGAGATATTGTTAAAGATAAATCAGTTCTCTTCAGAGAGAAAGATGGCAGTAAGGACAATTCAAAGAGCCTAGCAAATCTTCCCCATATGTAAGCACACAGCCAGAGAAGCCTATTCATCAGATAGACAGATGTGAACCCACAGTAACAGGTCCTTTATTTGAATCATAATTTTCTTCTCTGAAAAATCACTGTACTAAAAAAAAAAGAAAAATTACCTTACCCAATGATAAGTGGGAGAAGAATGGGACTTAAATAACAGGTAAGGTGGCTTCTTCCTGTTTCAAATGGGCCAAAAAGTATCTGCTGCCCTAACCGGTTTGGCTCAATGGATAGAGCATCAGCCTGTGGACTGAAAGGTCCCAGGTTCGATTCCGGTCAAGAGCATGTACCTTGGTTGCGGGTACATCCCCAGTAGGAGGTGTGCAGGAGGCAGCTGATCAATGTTTCTCTCTCATCGATGTTTCTAACTCTCTAGCCCTCTCCCTTTCTCTCTCTAAAAAAATCAATAAAATATATATATATTTTAAAAAGTATCTGCTACTTTGAGAAATTCTGACATTATCCTTCAGTTAGATAGGAAATTTAACTTTTAAGCATCACCACTTTGAACTCTAAAGCTTTTAGCATCACTGTCTGCCTAGGATCAGATGCAAAGCAATTTATGCTTGTCTTTTCTGTACCGTAAAATGAACACCACATTAACAGGTAAATGATAGGTTTTATTTGACCCACTGTGACTGTATCCAGTGCATGGAGACCTACATTTTAACCATACACCCATCATTGACACAGTTTTATCTTACGTTGCTACAGACAACATGGTTGCCTGAGATAAGAGTGGCTCCCTGTGTGATCCAGGCCATAAATACTTGGGTGTACAGCATAGGTGCTGACATGACTACGAGTAGAAGAATGTAGACTTGGACTACAGTTTTCCTGATGCTGCACTTTTAGGGTCTTTTAAATGCAGAATGCTCCCTGTTGATAGGCTTTGGCTTCCCCCAGACTGCTAGAATTCTCAGTGCCCATCAGCTGAAGGTCATGAAAAGGCAAAAATAGACTCTATTCTTATACCCTGTACCACTTAGAACAGGGGTCCTCAAACTTTTTAAACAGGAGGCCAGTTCACTGTCCCTCAGATCATTGGAGGGCTGGACTATAGTTTAAAAAAAAAAACTATGAACAAATTCCTATGCACACTGCACATATCTTATTTTGAAGTAAAAAAACAAAATGGGAACAAATATAGTATTTGTATTTGCATGTGGCCCGCGGGCCGTAGTTTGAGGACCCCTGACTTAGAACCTCTAATCAGCAGTGACATGTAGCCCAATTTATATTTCTTCCCAGTTAATTTTAAATTTCCCTTATTTTATCTTTGTGAAAAAGTACATACCATGTCATTAATCACTCTAAAAATCTGAGGTTGTGGGTCTATAATTCTGGAGATTAGGCCGGCTATGGAGCCCTTTTCATTCTTTTTGCCTCTAGCAACTTTATTGGGGTCTAATTTATATATCATAAAATTCACCCATTTTACTCATACAAGTCAATGACAATTAGTGTAATTAGAGTTGTGTAACTGTTGCCACTATTAGTACCTTTACATTACCCTAGAAATAATCTTTGTGCCCATTTGAAGGTACTCTGCATGCTTCTTCTAGCTTCTAGCAACCCGCTGATCTACATTCTCTCTATAGATTTGACTTTTCTGGACATTTCCTATAAATGAAATCATACAAGATGTGGTCTTTTGTGTGTGGCTTCTTCACTTAGTGAGATGTTTTCAGGGTTCATCCATGTTGTACCCTGTATCAATACTTGATTAATTCTTACTGCCATATAATCCATATTGTTTATTCATTCACTAGTTGGACATTCAGGTTGTTTCTATTTTTTGACTATTGTAGATAATACTGCTATGAACATTAGTGTACAGATATTCCCCCTTTTAGTTTTTTTTTTTAATAAAATTAGCCATTTTATAGTGAACAACTCAGTGGCACTGAATACATTTACAGTGTCAGTGTTCAGGTTTTTGTGTGGATATGTCTTCACTTCTCTTGGAAGTAGACCTAGAAGAGGAATTGCCAGTCTGTTTTTCAAAGTGGCTGTACTTTTTCACAATCCCACCAGCAATGTAGGAGTGTTCCAGTTTTTTCAAACCTTTGCCAGTACTTGTTAGACATTGTCTTACCTTTTCTTGATATTAAGAAAATCATATGCACTATGCCACAAAATATAATTTGGCCATATTGGTGGTTATGAAGTAGTTTCTTACTGTGATTTTAATTTGTATTTCCCTAAAGACCAATGATATTAAGCACTTACAGTTCTTTTATCATCCTCTCATTGCTATTTAGATTTTTTTCTTTTTAATCTATGAAAAGAAAGCAGGGTGTTTATGAATTGTGGCCAGAAATATTTCAATCTAGTTTGTGATGCAGGGTGTTTCACTGATTTGGGTCTATTCACTGGAAGGATTGTGGAATGCTCTTACATTAGTTCCCTAAATGCTGCCTTCTAAAATGTTCCTTGGATTTGTCAGTCCTATAGCATTTCTTACCTGAACAGAACTATTGGCCAGGGGGAAAGTGCTATAAGTAGACAATTAGAGCAGCGATTGCCAACCTTTCGGACCTCGCAGACCACCAGTGATCCGAGGACCACCGGTTGGTGACTGCTGATCTAGAGGGTAGAAGATCCTTTGACATCAGTCAAAATGCATGGTTTCAAGTACAGAACCCATTTACCTTAAGCAGTCTCAGTTTTCTCGTCTATAAAATGGTAAAAATATCAGTCAGGTTGTTATAAGGAGCATACAATAAAATACATAAGGTACATAATAAAATGCAAATACATAACATATACTAGACATATATCTAATACAAGGTTATATGACTCAAATTATTAATAAAAATCTCCTGACAATAAGACTTAATCATAAGCACAAATTTTATATGGTAATATCACCCTTACACTTCAGAGGTTACTTAGCATCCACTACAGCAGTGATTGGCAAATATGGCTTTGTACTTCATAGAGTCTCTCTTGAAACCACTTAACTCTGTCATTGTAGCTCAAAAGCAGCCAGAGACAATACAGAAATGAATGGGTGGGTGTCCTTGTCCTTGTGTTCTTATAAAACATGATTCATAAAAACTGGTGGAAGGCTGGATTTGGCCTTGGGCCATAGTTTGCCAACCCCTTTTTTACAATGAAAGACATCATCTCCTTTGTTTACCAGGATCCTTTTATTATAACCAAACATGGCTATTTGGGTGGTGGATAAAAGGGTAATAATCCATTTGAGATCTTTGAATAGCTACTAGTGGGTTATTGGCAATATACTTGTAAATAATTTGCTTTAAAGAAACTCATTAAATAACCCCCCAAGGTTAGTTTTTGCCATGATCTTAAGATACCTGAGCCATAGTTAAGATCCCTAAGATGAGATTGCTCTGGCTTCATCATGCTTTCTCTTTCTTCGGGAAGTATTCAAAAATACTGAGCAAGTTTCCTACCAGCTACTAAAGTGCTATAAATTTAGATTCTAACAAATATTTAAGAAAGGGACTCCATTGCCATTCATCTCTGACAAAATGAGATCCCTTCTTGCCTGAGCAATAGTTATAGATACTAAAAAGACCTTTTTCTAGTTGTCTGAACCTCAAGGTCTCTTTAAGAATCCATCAGCTTAGAATTATGTGAGGTTTTTGCTACCTCCTGCCTGGCAATGGGATCTGCCTGTGACCTTTGTCAATTTGAGTTTAACTAAACTGAACTCTTCGGAGCAAAGGGTTAGCCCCACCAAGCAGAAGAAATCAGTAGACCAGCAAGTTTGTAGTACAAGTAAAACTTATACCACAAATCCTAGAATCTAGCTCTATATTTCAGACTTATTTCCTATGTATTTATTCCAGCCTCACTGCGACTCTGAGTGTTGGTTTGTGGTCTCTATACTGGACCATTTAATTGAAGTTCATTTACCAACTCCTTTTCCCATTTTTTCTCCTCTAGCTCTTAACCAAGTCAAATAACTAAACAAACAGCCTGATTTATGAGTCACTAAAAAAATAAAGCGATCGAGTGTGATTTTTTAACTACTCTCCTCATCTCACTAGTAAATCAGTCTATATCATTATCAATTCTTACCTTTTTCTCATCTTAGGGGACAAGATGTCCCTGTTCCTATATTTTTATTATGAAATATATCTAACACATAAGAAAGCAGAGGTAATTGAATAATCAAATACTATACCATTTTTAACAGGTGTTAAGATTTGCCCATGTTTGCTTCAAGTCTTTTTCTTTATGTTTAAGAAACAAGTACAGTAGAATCCCCTTTGTATCCTTCTCTTACCCCATTTCTCTCCCTTCTCAGAGATGATTTCTACCCTTGAGTTATTATGTGTTCTTCTCATCCATAATTTGTACCTTTCCAACATAGATATATATTCATAAACAGTATACAGAATTATTGCATGATTTTTAAGCCTGGCATAAATAGTATCACAGTCGTTATATAATTCTGTGTATATTTGAGATTTACCAAGAGATCTAGATCAATGGTTTTCAACTTATGTATACAGTCGTCCTCCTTTATCCTAAGGGGATCCATCCCAAGCCCCCAGCAGAGCTTCTTCATCAGTGAATGTAGCCTCTCCAGTAATTTTTATATTTTTTAGTCCAAATCTCTTCCTGAATTTGTGTAACTGTCCTTTACTTGTGGTAAATGGCTAGATGTCACTTGTTTCAGGGGATGCCTTGTGGAAGTTTTCATACAGGCTTCATGCTTTCTGGTGTAACTTGTTGCTGTCTGTTCATGTTTTCCACCCACAAATTTAATGTCCTTTCTATCTTAACTAAGCACCTACACACACTGGGGTCATAACTTTTGCAGTTGAAGATATACAACTAGCACTATTTCATTTTTCTTGTTCACAATTTCACACAAAAGAGATTTGTCCTTGCCCTAGCTGGTTTGGCTCAGTGGATAGAGCATCACGCTGCTGACTGAAGGGTCCCAGGTTCGATTCCAGCCAAGGACACATGCCTGGGTTGTGGGCTCAATCCCCAGTAGGGGGCGTGCAGGAGGCAGCCGATCAATGATTCTCTCTCATCATTGATTTTTCTATCTCTCTATCCCTCTCCCTTCCTCTCTAAAATCAATTTAAAATATATATATATTTTTAAAATAAGATTTGTCCTTACTGTAGAGATTAACAACTTCAGCATACTTTTTTATTTTATTAAGTCAAGAACTTTCACCTTTTCACTTAAAGGAAGCACTTTACAGCTTCTCTGTGATGTGTTTGAATCACCAGCATCCCTACTCTTGTACCTTGAGGCCATAATTAAGTAAAATAAGGGTTACTTGAACACAGCACTGCAATACCACCACAGTCAATCTGATAACTGTGGCAGCTACTAACATGACTACTGGGCAGGTAGTGCATACAGTGTGGATACACTGGGCAGAGGGATGATTCACATCCCAGCAAGATGGAGCAGGACCGCAAGATATCATCATGCTACTAAGAATGATGCACAATTTAAAACATGAATTGTTTATTTCTGGAATTTTCCATTTAATATTTTCAGATTGCAGTTGATGACAAGTAACTGAAACCACAGTAAACAAAACCACGAATAAGGGGGGATTACTGAACATTAGATTCTCCTGGGGAACTTTAAGCACATACACATATTTCTTATTCCCAGAGACCATTATTCATTATTCTGGAGTATAACCCAGGCTTCTGTTTTTTAATTGGTACGTTTTATTTCTTAGAGCATTTTTAGGTTTACAGAGAATACAGTTGGTTCTCATATACTCACTCCCCCCACCATGTTTTCCCTATTATTAAAATCTTGCACTGGTGTGGGACATTTGTTATAGTTGATGAACCTATATTGACATATTAACTAAAGTCCATAGTTTACATTAGGATTCATTGTGTGTGTTGTATAGTTCTATGGATTTTGCCAAACGTGTAATATCATGTATCTACCATTACAATATCAGAAAGAATAGTTTCACCTACTCATAAATTCCAAAGCTATCAAAAGCACTCCTAGGTAAGTCTGTGGAATTGGCAGGCACACCCATTGGGGAAGCAGCTCTGATGAAGCCCAACTGTTCTGGGCTTCATTCTATCCTAAATCTTTGGCCCAGCAATTCTTCAACTTGTAGTCCTTCCATGTCTTCAATGAGGATGTGTTTTAAATTTTGTACAGCTTTGCCCTAGCTGGCTTGGCTCAGTGGAGAACGTTAGCCTGCAGACTGAAGGGTCCCAGATTCGATTCCGGCCAAGGGCACATGCCTGGGTTGCGGGCTCAATCTCCAGTGGGGTGCGTGCAGGCGGCAGCCAATCAATGATTCTCTCTCATCATTGATGTTTCTGTCTCTCTCTCCTTCTCCCTTCCTCTCTGAAACCAATAAAGAAATATGTTAAATTTTGTACAGCTTTTCCAGTTGTCCTTTGCAGGAATGTTTATCCAAATTACTTAAATCAACCATTACCAGAAGTGGAAATCCACCCAAGTTCCCCTGAGCAAAAATTACGACACAACGTTCTGGGAACATCCGGCTTTACTCTAAACAGCTTAGGCTTTCTCATTTAAAATGTACTTGGTGCCCTGAATGACTGAAACTGTCCTGGGTATCACGTAGAAAAAAAGGGTAATTTACATTCGAGGGTAATTTAAATTCAAGACGTATAGGTCCTAAGCAGAGGAGAGAGTGCTTCATCTTTCAGAGAAGCTAAATCCACGTTGCTGATTTGAACATAAATAGAAGAATGTGCATTTCAAGGCATAAAGCAGGCAGAAGTAGCTTAAGTTTTTAAAAAGAATGCCTCCCCAGATCCACTTATTAGATCTCAAACTTCATTGTTAATATCTTTCTGCCCTTGGGATTTCCCGCTTTAACTCCTCACTTGACCCAGATACTGGCGGAATGGTAAGATGACTGTGAAAGAGTCTTGCCCTAACAACAGAAAATTTAAAACACAACTTATTCTAACTTCCTTTTGGAGAAGCCCTCGTGAAAGGGGCAAACATTAGTACATGCCATGGGGACTGGGCCAGCCATACAAGAGAAAATTTGTTACTGATCGCAGTCAACCTATGTTGTTGTTTTCCTGCAGGTGAACAGACATGATCATTGCACTGTGTATCAGGGTGAGGAATGCTAGCTACTGTAACAAACCTACACAATCTCAATGACTAAACAAAGGTTCATTTCTCATTTACATTGCAATTCAGTACAGATCCTTGGACAGGCTTCTTCCACTTAGTAGTAAAATCTCCAAGGACCTCAGAATCCTCCATTCAAGAAGAACAATAGAAAGTGTGGGGAGGCCCTAGTGGGTATAGTTCAATGGTTGAGCATCAACCCATGCACCAAGAGATCATTGGTTCAATTCCCAGTCAGGGCACATGCCTGAGTTTCGGGCTTGATCCCCAACATGGGGCATGCAGGTGCAGCCAATTAATGTTGATGTTTCTCTGTCATCAGTGTTGCTATCTCCCTCCTCCACCCCCGCTCTCCAAAATCAATTTAAAAAAAAATTTTTTTTAAGAAAAAGAAAGTGTGGAGAAATGCACAGGAAGTTTGGGTCCAAGCCTGGACATGATATATTACTTCTGCCCATATTTTATTAGCCAGAAATCAGACACATGCCCCACATGACTGTAAAGGAGATTGGGAAATACCATTTTTCCCAAATGCCCAGGAAGGAAATGAGATGGAGATCAATGATCACATTGCATTTTCTGTGTCACAGTGTGTATTTTACTAACTTGAATTTAAGAGATTGATTCAAGAAGGCTAATAGAAAAGGTGTGGGGGTGGGGGTTATATCCAAATATAGCAGAAGAGAGAGGTGTTATGTAGATTTGTTGCAAGAGACTGCTAAGATAGAGACATTTGACCTTAGCTTATCCCAACAGAGCCAGTCTTTGTCCCTATCAGTAGAGTCTCACCCTAACAATGCCTGTGCCCATCAGTGGTTTTGCTGGGCACAGGCATTGTTAGGGTGAGACTCTACTCTCACTTATTAGTACCCCAAACCTAGAGGTCACTAACTTATTGCCAGTGGTACTTTTTAGCTGGGCTAATGACTTGTCTCAATATTTCTTTTTCAGGGTTTGAGTAAAAAAGTTGGTGTGTCATCCTCCATCCTCCAAGGTCTCTGGATCTCCTACAGCACAGAAGGTCTGTCCATGGCATTGGCATCTTTAAGAAATCTCTACACTCCAAATATAAAGGTAAATGCATACGAGTTACGTAGATTAAAAGAATTAACTGTGAAACATAGAATTAGGAGGACATTTAAGTGGCTATTTAAATGAACTTTGACTTGCCTTAGACTATCTCCTATTAGCCTTTTAGTGATAACTAGAGGCCTGGTGCACAAATTCATGCACCAGTGGGGTCCCTCTGCCTGGCCTGTGTGATCGGGCCAAAACTGGGTCTCCGACATCCCCCAAGGGGTCCCGGATTTCGAGAAGGCGCAGGCCAGGCCGAGGGACCCCACCAGTGCACGATCGGGGCCGGGGAGGGACGCGGGAGATTGGCCAGCCACAGGGGACCGCGGGGGGGCTCCAGGACATGTCTGGCCTGTCTCACCTAGTCCTGATGGGCCAGACCTCAGAAGCAAGCTACC